CGCCGCCGGCCCGGCCCGGCCCGCAGGGGCGCGGAAGAGCTGCCGCCGGGCGGGGAGCGGCCGCTGCCGGCGGTCCCGGGGCAGGGACACCGCCACTCGTGTCGGTGAAGGGCCGGGGGGGAGGTGCGGCGGCCCTCCTGCTCCGCAGCCGGCTCCCCGGTGAGCGATGCTCCGGGATGCTCCTCGTTTTCGGGGTGGCCGGCAGGCTGCTCGGCCGCTAGGGCCCCGGCACCCCACGGGAGGCACCGGCTCTCTCTGGGGACACAACCGGTGGGGCCTGTGATGGTCCTGACCCAGCCCCGAGCGCTTGTCCCAAAGCTGCCGGGGACAGCCCGGTGCTGCGGCTGGGATGCGGGGAGGAGGGAGGAAGGCATGTCCCCTTCGCACATTTGCTGAGGTGATCTGGTCACCTTGAAGCTGGAAGGGCCTTCGTGAGCACTGGTAGCTGTATGGCAGATAGGCAGGGGTACGGGCAGCAAGGGAGGGTTGGCAGGCACGGCCACAGCAAGATGCTTTGGCCATTGGAGATCACCGGGATGGCCCCAAGGCTTGCTGTCTCCTGACAGAGGTACCCAGGGCTGCAGGAGGGCATCAAGGGAGGTTATTTGGCACGGAGGGCCTAGGAAGAGCTTTGGGGCTGAAGAAAACCCAACCAGGGCAACCTTGTCTAGTTGGGGGTGTCCCTGCTGACTGCGGGGAGGTCGGACTAGATGGCCTTTGGAGATCCCTTCCGGCCTGGACGATTCTATGATTCCAAACAAGTTAGTAAGAAACCAGGCTTCATCCATTCTGCTGCCTCTGGAACAGCATGTGCTTTAGAAGTACACAGAACATGGGCCGGGAAGCTGTGGGAGTTAATTACAAACTCTTTCAATGAAGAAAGCAGTGTTCTTGATTGAAAAAATAAGTCAACCAATGTGGCCTCATAGAGAGAAATGCAGAAGATAAGTAAAAATCCCAAATTTATTATCCGGATAATGGGCAGTCCATTTCAGGGCTTGACAGAATTGTGGGGAGAAAAGCAACCGTGGCAGGTAGTCAAAACTTTTAATTTGCTTCATACTCAACAACATATCCATGCTGCTTTTTCACTTCACCCGCTAACAGGGTACAGCCCAGTTGGTCTGAATTTGCGATCCAGAGGCCAGGAGATTACACAAGAAACTGATTTTGCATTTGAAAAACCTTACCATAAGTGTAAGATAATTGATACAGTTTCTCTCTCACATTCAGCAGGGAGCTGAAACTCGAGTTTTGAGGTGTCATCTGCCCTGTGCACTTTACAAAGAGCCTGTTTACTGCACTATCCTCTGCTGCTGGAGGCCTGTCAAGATCAACCCAGCAGAGGACACTGGGCATCCCCCAGAGAGGGACTTCAGCCTGGTAAGTGGTACTGGGCGGTGCTCACCAGCATTGCTAAGGAAAGGATGAAAACACCTCTGACGCTAAGGAAAGGGAAAATCCTCGTCACTACCAGACAGGGTCACAGCACACAGCTGTGAGCTGTTCCTGATTTTACATGATAATAAACATTGTATGTGACAACAAACACAGAGGCTGTCAACTTCTGTGGAGGCCTTGCGCCTTGCTCTGGCCAGAAGGGTGCTGAATAATAATGAGTCATCCTGATGCTGGCAAACTAGCGTAAATGAAGGAGTTTAGGTGGATTTGCAGATGAGTGTGTGTGTGTGTAGATACAACTTCATTATTACTTATTCAGCTATACAATTATCTGTCACAGAATTATGTATGCATAGAATCTAGTTTCAAAGCATATGTACAAGCTGGAATAACGAGCATAATAGTGGTTAAGTATGTGTGTGTAAATATGGTTTGTAGACAACTGTTAAATACCAATATGCTGGACATAAGAATATACACTGTATATCAAGGAAGCCATGTCTAGCAAGCTTGGGGTCTAGAGAGTTAAGTGGCACGAGTAATTGCATGCCCAGTGATTGCACTGTCTCCTTGCTCACCATCCTTCCTGAATCAAGGAAGCCCAACTGATGTCATTGACATTGAGTTTATAGCAGGGGGTCCCTAGTTGCTGGCTGGTGGAGGAATAAACCCTGAAGATAGCACTTCATGCTGCTGCTTTAGATCTGGTTCTCTGGAACAGTCTTGGGTTTTTCCCTTTGTGTACAGTTGCAAATTACTTAGAATAGGGTAACAGAAATGTTAAGCATGAGGAGCCCAACAAGGACTTCCTGGAATGAATCAAAGGAAAAGGAGATCTTCTTGGACTCCCAAAAGAAATTATCGGGGGAGGCTGAGAAGATGCAAAGAGCAAAATGTAGGACTGAATGTTAATTAAGAACAGTGAGAAAGAAAACAGGAGAGCTCTGCTGCAGGGGTTCTTAAGTATTAGAAGAATAAGTATTTTATTTAAGTATTAGAGCAATATGGAAGAAACACAAGAATATGATCGCATGGCTAAAACAAGTTTTGAGATAAAAACAATGGGAAACCGAGACCAAAGTGTGGCAGGACTGCAAGAAGCATGCTGCAATCAGTGGCAGACAGGGTGAGATCAGACAAGGCTGTTGAAGCAGATAACCAGTATAGCTACCTCTCAGTCAGATTTTAAAAAGGAAGAAAAGGCTTGAAGAAAAGGTAGGAGAGCATCACCTTGCTTCCACAGAAGCAAGAAAGGTTAGAGCTGGTGGGAAAGTAAGGTAGGCAGGTCTCAGTAGGAATAATGCCCTTAAAGCAAAGCAGCTGGGAAGGCCTCCTGCGATCATCATCACAATGAGGACTGAAAGCAATGCTAGTAAATGGTAGTTCCCCAGGGATGATGTCCAAGCACATAAATCTGAGGAAATTTGGCAAGGCAAAGTACGATAATGGTGTTAATGCAAAAATCGCTAAGAATAAATCAGTTCCGTTCACCAATAAGTTTAAAGAGGATGTAAAGAATGTGAAGTCAAAGACACTTTCTCTTAAAGCTTTTTAAGAGTTTCTGGGGTTTAATTAAAACAGGAAGAAAGAAATTTCGGGGCTGAAATATTTAAAGTATAATGGCTTCTGCTCTGAATGTGAAAATAAGCCCCTGAGAAAAAAAAATATCTAGAATTAATAAGGTAAATGAGTTTCCTGCTATCTGTACAGTTTGCAACGTTTTAATGGAAAAGTTCCTTTTAAGCAATTATTTTATTTCTAGTTTTAATAACAGTGGAAATTAAACAATTGGTTTTGAGATATTTTTAAAAGTTTAGTAAGAATGTTTGCTTAAGGAGTTTCAGTCAGAAACAGGTAGAATAAGTTATATAAACCCAATAATTACTTATGTAGGAAGCTCTAATATGCCCTTAGTTGTCAAAATTAAATCCGAAGTTCAGTGGAATAATTAATACATTGGAAGAGGTTATTTTAAAAAAGTGAAATAGTATTGTTTCACACAAAAAAAAGAAGAAACAAAATATTAATTAAACCTTTCAAAAAGCAGTAAGAGAAGATTAAACACAACAGTATGTAACTGTCCGTAAGAACTTACATGATAGTGAATGTAATAGTTGAAATTAAGAGTGTGTCTGTTGCTCACTGAAATATCCATTTGAATTTCAGGCATTATTTAGTTTACCTAAAAATGCATGAGTTTATTGAAGTATTTGGTCTACAAACAAGGGAAACGTAAAGCAGTAAGTTAGGAGGAACTATTTTACACACTAATTATTATTAAAAGTTATTTATAGTGATGACATATACATTACAGAAAAAAATAGAGTTATTACATTTTGCAAAGGCTTTAAAATTTTCCTAATCTGTAGTTTCCTTTTTAATTTCTTTGTTCAGACAACATGGAGCAAAATTATAAAGGGGAAATGGAGTGGGGAGAACTACCAGTGGATAGAGAATGCATTTTGAATAAACTCAAAGTTCAAATATCTTCCTAAATTCGTACTTTCAGGGGAAAAGAAAGCATCAAATAATGTGTTACGGGATAATGTTCCTAGTTTTAGCAACAGCCAACGCTTAGGTATTCTAAAAAAAAAAAAAAAAGGGAAAAAAAATTATCAGAGGAACATGGTGTACAAATGCATTGCAGACAGGTAGGAAACTTGTTCAGGGAGAAGAAGATTCAGCCAAGTTATAAAACTTACTCTCTGGAGATTGCTTTGGACCTACGGGTCATTGTTCACCATTGCTTTATCTGGGTGTAAAATGGCATTGCCCTGCAAAGAAACAGCCCCCAGCCACCCTCCCTCCAAGCTCCCACCTTGGCTGCTCTTTCTCTGCTTTGTCAGCACAAGAGTACCTGCATTTTAAAACATCATTCCCATTGTTTTGACCAGTAGCAAGCAGTTTTTTTATTAATACGTTTATGTTGCAAGTGTCTTTATTTGAGGAGGTTGCCTGGTGCTGGCAAAACGTGGAACGGGCTGAGCCCCTGCTTGCCCAGCTGCAGGGCTGCGCTGAAGGGTGGGCACCGAGGTCCTCGGTGCCTCCGTGGGGGGCTTCGGGTCAAGGGTGCATAGTGCAGAGGCAGAGCGTGTCAGGAATTTAGACGGGAGGAAGCACAGTGGGTACAGAGTCCTAAAAATAAAGTAGATTCAAAAACAGAGACTTGATGAGTGAGATAGAAACTGGCAGCTATTTCAGGGATCTTCTATCAGGCTGATGAATGCTGTGTAATTCTCAGTGTGCCACGCCAGTAAAAACAGGCGGCAGTCTCTGGATCACTGGGGCAAGACCCAACCTGTACCAGTTTGCAGGTCTCTGTAAGACACGTATGTGCATATGTACTTATATATGTCTACATATATATATACATAGAGACATACACACACATACAAAATATCTTGTTCAAAAGGTCATATGCAAGCCAGTATAGCTTAAAGGTAGTAACGACGTGGCTGCCAGAGGCATCAGTCCATGTATTTGCTTGCTATAGGTATGTATTGTTGATATATAAATTTTCTCTTTAGTTAAACAGTAAGCATGAATTGCAGGCAGTAGAAGAGATGTCCATAAAAGAAGCCATGGCTAGCAAGCTTAGCTGCCGAGAACTACTGGAACATAGTTTTGTGTGTGGAATATGGTATGACGTGATGTGTTACTGAAGGGTCTGTTTGAGGTCTGTTATATTGGAAACTTGACCGATATTTCATCTGTTCTGGTACAGACATGGTGAATTGAAATACCGAGCTGCATATAATTTTTGAAAGCTTGATCAAAATTGTGGCATGTTCAGAAACATACAAATGAAGTAATTTCATCACAAAGTTATAGCAGCTGGCTATAGCAGACAAAGTGGAAACCTGCTTCATAGGCTATGATTAAAATTCTGAACCAAAAACTCAGGGGGATATTACGTGGTGAAATTAATCTTAGTCATCGTATACTGTAGGCACTTACCACCACTTTTTTTTTTGTCATTTTCCAAGGTTACTTCTTCTTCTGTGCCTGAAAGGACCAAAGTTAACATACGAGTCTGGTGATATCAGAGAAACATCTGCTTTTCACTCATGGTATGTCTAATATATGTGTCTATGTTTTTCTTTAAGATGGAGATAAGAGTCCACAAAACACATGCTAAAACTTTGTTTTCTTTTTCTCAAAAGTATGATTTCCTTGCGATTCATATCAGTAAGGTTTTACAGTAGAAACTAAGCCTTTTATTCTTTGAATTGCCATGAAAATAATGCCATCGTATTTGGAGATTTGAGATGCCACCATGCCCAGACTTTCCTAATGAAGTCAGCTATCTCTAGTTTTCTGGATTTCTTTGGAACAGGTTGCCTGACTACTTGCATTTTTCCCTTTCTGAGATGCTTTTGATTATGATGGTAACTTTATAGTCTTCCATATTATATGACCCTGAATTATATATGAGGTAGAAATTGGCTTGTGCGTCATGGTATGAGGATATGTCCAAATGTATTACATCCTATTACTGCTGTAAGAGCAACAGAATTTTTTGTCATGTTACCTGGACAATTTGTAGTTCTATATCACTGTACGTTTGCTACATTATACTTACTTTACTGGTTCTACAGGTACCTTACATGCCCTAATGGTTTCCTAGGCTTTGTTTTGCCAGTGGTGGGTTCTGTCTCTTGCAGAATGATGGCTCTAAGTTTATCTTCTTTATGTTACCTTGTATAATGAGTAGCTTTAATAAAGCTTACATTGGCCCATTTTTCTCCCTGCTGGTGCTTTGATATCCTTTGCAGTGGAGACTGCTAAGTTGCACAAGTGCTAGCCTCACATGTTTGCTCTTGCCTTCTCTGTTCTGCTTTTTTTGGCAGGCCTGTTCTGTTCCTTGCACTTTTCATAGCTCCTTTAGTCTAAAGTAATTTTTTTCATTCATCAGGTTTTCTCTGTCATTTTAAATTATTTTAACCTCAAGCAGTCCAACACTGAACTATACAAATGAACACATTGGTGATGTGAAGGAATTTCTTCTCAAAAGCAACGCATTTTTCACTGACTAATGCACAATCTGCACAATCTGGGAATCTGGTTTTGTTTTTTCCTTAACTATCTTCCAACGAAGCTTTCTCCATCCTCTTACCCTAATAAACAATTTGAAAGGCTTAGCTTGTTCCTTCGTTGGTGAAGACATCAAGTCCTATATTTTCCAGGGAGCTTGGTAGTGCATAACCATGAGAATATTGTATAGTACTTCATTAATTTCAAAAGATTATTTTTGCCTTGCCTCATGATATTTTGATTGTCTATCAGTGACAGAAATCACTGAATGATTGTACCTCTATAAATGCCAGGGATGCTCACTGAAGATAGAAATAACCATCAGATGACAGCAGTAGAATTTAGCACAAATAATTTCCTCTCATTTTGTAAACCTCAACAAATATTTCCTATTGCTTACTTCTGATTTCTTAAAATTAGAGTTGCATCTTTTGCTGTTACATTCCTAATTACATTCATGATATCTTTGTCTGGAGTTTCAAACCATTAGTAGAATTTGATAGTGTAATCATCAGCTACATAACATAAATTTGTACGATCAACATGTGCAGTAGCTTATCTCAAAGATAAACTGGAGTGATTCTGTCACTAATTTGACTATATCCAAGCATGCACTTTGATATGGTAAGTATGACCCAGTTTTCTTGGATCAATAATGTATTGCATTAATCACTCTTGCCATTCCCTTCTTCCAAGCTCTGAAATCTTGCAGAAGGAATTGCACTATCCAGCTTTATTGATAATGGCAGGCTCCTCATACTATCATAATGTAAGAATGGTTCTACTGGCTAGACCAAAAGTCTACCTTAGCCATGTATCTCGCCTCTGATGATGACCGCTGTAAGCATCTTTATGCCTAAGAAAATTATTAAACATAAGTGCATATGTTAAATATTTACATATGTTATTAGCGTTAACACATGGTATCTAGAATGGAGGGAGCATCACTGAGTATTTACCCTGTCTAGGTATTTGTCCTTTCTGTAATGATAAATTTGCAAAAGTGTAATTTTTTTTCTTTGCTGTGAATGGTACTTTCCCAGAGGACTGGTTTAAGTGGCCATAACACAGCCAGGACTCTTGTTTGCCAGAGTCTTTCTCCAAGTGTAACATGTTTGGCCCTTTGCCATGATGATCTGGCAATCGGGGTTGCAAGTGGACCAGAGGCAGAAAGACATATAACTTGGAAGATACGGATGCCATTGCCTAAAACCAGGGGATGGCTTCATTTTAGTGGCATTTGGCAGTTTCACTACACTCCCCAAAACCTCTCCTCGTCCTCTCCTCCCCAAATCTTCCAGCACTGCAGTGAATGTCATGTGCTGACATTGAGCTCAACAATTTTAATAAAGAACAACCTGCCTAAACTTATAGAGGTATGACAAAATATACTTAAGTGACTGGTCAACTGCAGTTGAAGACTTATTTTATCAGTGCTTTTTTTTTTTCTCTCTCTCTTTCTTCTTCTCACTTTTTAAATCAATATAACCTGGAAAAGATTTCAGGTTACCTGGGAGGCTGAGGCTAAGGAGAAAATACTTAGAAATGCCATAAGAAAGCAGGATTTTACGCTCAAACTCTTTGAAAAGAAAGGCTAACGGATCAGCGTTCTTGAGGGGCGGAAAATATGTGTGTGTTTTTTGGGAATGACTCAACTGTGAATCCTGTATCTCAGTGAAGGAAGAGATCAGTTCGGAGCTGAGGGAACAACAAAAGCAGGGAGGTGCAACTAAAGGCCAAAGTATCATGTAAGCCAAGTGGGGCTGACAGAGGCACCGCGCCAGGCAGTAGAAATCAAGTTATAAACAGAAAAAAAAGAGATCGTTGTGCCGGGTGAGCGCGAATAAGCCCAATAGCCAAGGGAAGGGGCAGGAGACGCGGTGACCAAGGCGAGGAGGGCGGACACCGGCGGGAGAGAGGCCGGCAGGCCCCCGGCCAGGCGGGGAAGCCCCTCGCCGGCTCCGAGGATCGCGGCCCGGCCCGCCTTCCCCTCCCCGCCGAGGGAGAGCGGCCGGGACGCTGCGGCCGCCCTCGGCCGGCCTCCTCCCGCCGGCGGAGTCCCCTCCTCCCCGCTGCCTTCCCGGCGGCC